GGTGCAACGGAAGGCGATCTGGTGGGAGCGGCACTAGGTGTGGGGCTTGGCTCGGCGGTGTTGCTCACCGATGCGGAGGTACTGACAGTGGATGTTTGGGTTGTTGAAGTAGAGGGGGCTAGTGTCGGAGCTTCGGTGGGAGCCTTGGTGGGTGCTGGTGTAGGTTTTGAAGTAGGTGTTTTGGTCGGAGGATGCGAGGGATGTGAAGGGGGTGGACTATGTTTCTTCTTGCTATTTTTTGTAGGTGGGTGTGAARGAGGTGGACTATGTTTCTTCTTGCTCTTCTTTGTAGGTGCCACGGTCGGAGTCTTCGAAGTCTTCTTGTCGATGTCTTTTCCGGATCCCTTGGTATSTTTCAGGATACGGACTGTGCCGTGCTGAAACGAAAAAATTCAGTTCGAATAGATGATTTCGATTGATKAGAGACACCGTGATGTCGAARACCAGCGAGTAGAAMATGCAGAAGCCACGCCATGCAAAAAGGGGATTTGAAGATCGGAGCACAGTAGAGAGACAAAGATTGAACAAACTCCAGCACTTCATAACCTGATTTGACTCACATCAAAATCTTGAGCATGGGCAGCTATGGCAAAGCCAAGCACAAAAAACAGGATGCCTTGAGAAATCTTCATTTTAGAATCGTCGTCTCTGAATTAAGAGGAAAACTCTACTATTTGGACAAAAGAGATAGTTGTGCGAACAACAAAATCTGAGAATTATGTTTGAATGCAGTACGAAAAAATGTTAATGACACGGCTATTGTAAAGTGAGGTTGATTGTCAGTCACAAAGCACGTWATGCTGTGACCAGGTCCCCGTATCTTATCGCAATGTACTCGTACTCATATTGAACGATGGAATTGGCAATRAAACAAAATTTCAATCTTCGCTCAGGAAAAACCCGAATTTTTTTGGCAACTGAGCATTGCCAAAAATACAAAATTGTAAAAAGATGGAAGATATTTATGACGGGAACGAAACGTCCCTGGTGTATGTTTAGTCGTTATGCCCTGTCCTAATGACCATAAAATGACCCGGAACAAAATCGTGAGTAGTACCGTAATATTTTTTTTATCATAAGCCAGCTCTTAATCTAAGCTTCTCAATCATATGCTGTTCGTTCATAATTGCTTCTTGTCACCGGGATAAGAGTCGTACAATCGAAMATTATGACCCATTGTGCATACCACCATGCAACTTGGTAGTTGTCCTGATATACCCTCTGTGCGATTTCTTCAAATTTTTAGTTTTGAATCTTGGCAGCCCTTTCTGTTGAGTCCTTGAACAGAGTTTTCTAATGCTGGATTCCACTCTAGGATTGTCTGTGAGGGGCCATAATCTAGACCCCTGGTCTGAAAGCGTTCTAAACAATAGAAAAATCCGTTCAAAAAAATACTAGTAGTACCTTCATACAGTAATCTATCAACTCATGACAACTGACAGACGAAAAAGTAGATTGTCCAGAATAACGGGAATCAATCACCCACTCATCAAAAGGGGGAGGGGGGGGGATTTCGAGCGTGCATCAACAATCACAGACTTCGAGTATTGCTGAAGCCTGAAAAATTAAACTACTGTAGCATCACATCACAGAAACAMTCGAACTGTTGACACGAACTGTCATCAAACGAGGTCAATACCGATAGTGACAACGGCAAAGAACAAATCCAATTAATACGGCAAAAAAAGAGAACATTAGTGGGCAAAGCGGTCTTTTTTCTCGCCACGCAGAAAAGCAGGTACTTCGTAATACATTTTTGTTTGAGGMATGGGATTCTTGCTACTTTCCGTAGAATACCCCTCCGAGAGCGACAAAAAAAGATTTCTCAGAACGGCCGGTCCCCACTCCGGTTTTACATCCCCTATCCATGGTTTCTTAGCGGCATCGGCGACTGACGATCAGTGGCGGAGCGTCCTGAAAGCAATCCGCGAAAATGCCGAAGMGTTGTCGTTTTTGGACGACGTACCACCGCAACCGCGTCCACTGAGACCGAACGACGACAATTACCAGGTCAGATACGAACAAAGTAGCAATTCGAATCTGGATATGCTTCGATTTGCTTCGATCGCTTTACATTTCCCATCAAGATTTCTAACGATGACACTTCCTGTTCGCCCTCTATGCAACATACTATACTATTGATCTATCGATCAAACAAATGTTCCACTCGATATGCAAAACAGGCTTTCAGTGGAACAAAGTGGAAGCCCGAGGTATTGGTCCGAGCAGCATCCTCTCCATTGCATCCAGCTCTATTTGCCCTTATGAACCGGGATGATGAGAGCACCCCATACCCACGCTTTGGTCRCTGTGCAAACTGCACAAACCGAACGCCCCAAATGAACCGGTGCGGCCGCTGCAAACTTGTGAGGTACTGCTCGAGGGCTTGCCAGTCCGCGCACTGGAAGAAGGTGCACAAGACGAGCTGTGTAAAGGCCCAGCCGTTCTCGTTATACAAAAGCATGAACGGGAACGATGGATTCCACGTGTCATCGGACGAATGCAGGTGGCTCCAGGCGGCGTTGTCACGGGATCCAAACACTAGTAGCGACAACGTGCTTCAATGCTTTCGGGCATACTTTGGTGTCGCAGGGGACCTCGGGGGCTGCTTCGTGTTGTAGAGGGATATAGTACAACTAGTGGTGTCTTGGGTTCTATGACAGCTGCTACAGCTAGTAGTACCGGTAGGATCTATTAACGTCATCATTCTTAAGTTCTTTTGCCCCCCGTCACATCGTCCCTTTTCTGCTCCTTCAATTTCGCGAAACCGCTTGAGTATTTGTACTACCACCAGTTCCACTATTCCAAAAAGGCTTACAGCTATTGCCGATGGGCAAACCTCTTGGTATCTGGTAGGAAATGGTGCTTCGAGTACAAATACCATAAGGTACTACCGTACGTATGTACAGTTTCATACTACCAAAAGATACCTAAGCGCAGTTGTTCCTAACAGCTCTTAGCCTGAGTTGTTGGAGCCTTGTCGTTCCTTCTTCCTGTGGCGGTAGCGTGATGTGGTATCGTGGTTACTGGGCCTCTAGGTTCGATGGTACCTTTCGTCTGTTCACTAGGTATATATATGCTAATTTTGAGTTATGTTTGCCTAATTTGGATTTGACTAAATTGACTTAGAACTCTACAAGTAGTGCGGTAGCAGGGTCAGATAGCTTTGGGGCGCTGTATCTGTGCCTGTTCTGTACCTTGTTGGTCTCCATTTGTTACCGCTTGTGGTAGGAGGCCCATTGGTTTTGGTGTTTGTGGTTAGATGGTTGCGCCGGAGGCGGAGGAGGAGAGCTTTGAGGCGAAGGAGTTCGAGCCTGAGGAGAACAACGGTGGGCGGCGGATTTCGTAGGCGGCAAGGATTATAAGCCCGGTGCGGCGCTCAGTTTGGGTGGGTTGTTTGGTTTTCCACAAGGGGAACAACTTGCTGCCGAGTTTTTTGCAGATGTGGTTGTCGTGCTGGTGTCCCGGGGGGAAAGACATCTGCCACTCCAGGACGTCTCCCATGTGGAAGGCCGGGTCGAGTGTGGGTTTTGTGGTAGCGTTCGGGGGGGCGAGTTGGTTGACTTCGGTGGAGGGGCGGCGTCCTATATAGAGGAGGTGGGCTGGTTTGAAGATCATGCAGAAGGTGTGGTGGTATTTGATCGTGACGTTGTTTCCATCACTGAGGGCAATGAGCTCGAGGATGATGGGGTTGAGGAGTCGGGATGTCATGCCGTCGCTCAATTGCTTTTTCCAGTGGTAATGGACTGGGTTGAGGTAATGGCCGAGGGTGAGGGTATCTGGGAGGGCGTGGAGGGTGTAACCGTTGTAGGCGGAGTCCAGGGGGGTGCCGCATGTAGGTTCGTTGGCGAGGTCGTAGACGAAGTTGTGGTGGGTGCCGTTGGCGTAGATGGTGTCGACGTCAGTTTGTGGGGCTTGAAGGCACCATGCCGCCATGGCGATGCAGCGGAAAGCTGGGTGGGAGGGGTCGGTGAAGTATTTTGGGGTGAATGTGGTGGCGGAGTTGAAATAGCGGTCGTAGGCTGTTTTGAAGTCCGTGGCTGAGTTTAGGGGGTTGGTGTTGCCCCGTGGGGCGGGCTGAAGGTTGTCGAGCATGGTCGGGAGCATGGTCGGTTTTTTCTGGGGGGTCAGGGGTGGGACGGTTTTCTGCTTCTTCGCGGGGTGCGTCGCGGGTTGCTGTTGGTGTTGGATGGATTGAGGTGGGGGGGGTCCGGGTCCTGCCTGGGAGTTGGTGTTGGTGGCTTGAGGGCCAGACGCCTTGGGTGGTGGTGGAACGCCCGTGGCGGTGCCGGTCTGGGGCGGTGGTGGTGGTGGGGGGTGAGACGGTGGCGTGGTTTCGGCAGCGAGGTGGACTGCGAGTTGGTTGCAGAAGAGGTGTTTGAGCTCGGGGGTGGCGGTGCCGGCTGTGATCTGTGCGTTGAGGCGTTGCTCGAGTTCGTTGTAGAGGTCCACGGCTGGTTGCGCAAAGTCGAGGGTCTGCACGATTTGTGCGGCGTGAATGGCGTGAATGGCCAGGTTGGGCGGGGCGTTGTTGAGGAGACCTTTGCAGGCGGCGAGCCTGTTGGCGGCGGTGTTGGCGGTGGCCATGATGGCGTCAATGAGGGCGGAGTCTTCGAAATCTGTTATGTCGTCCAGGGGGTCGACTGGGGGTTGGGGGTTTATGCGGAGAGTCTGTCGAATGCGGAACGGGTTGGTTTGGTGGTAGCTGTGGCGCTCGGGTGTCACTGCGACACGTTGTTGGCTGGGGCGGGATGGCGTGGAGGGGTGAGGGCGTGGAGTGGGGCGTGGGTCTTGCCTTTTGTAGGGGTTTCTACGTACGGGCTGGGGTCCCTGGTTGGTCATGGTGTCTTGGGTGGGCGGTGGCGGGTTGGAGGTGTCTTGGTTGTCGGGTTAGAGAAGCGGATGTTATGGAAGGGGAAAGGCTTGGCCATCGTGGAGGAGATACCGTGGGAGAATTGCGCGATTTGTTTGTGGAGGTAGTGGAGGAAGGCGTCGCTTTTCCAACGGCCGAATTTCTGGATCGTGACTGTTGGGACTCCGTTGAGGTACATTGCCATGGCCCCGCCGGCGCGGAAACTGTGGGAACCAACGAGGTTGGCGCGAATGCCGGCAGTATGTAGGTTTAAGGCGGTGACGGCGTGTTTGATCGTGCGATTGAAATCCATGGGCGTGGTGGTATGGGGGAGGGTGTATGCGCTTATGCACGTGTGTGGTGGCGCGCGAGCTGCGCGTAGGGTGGTGATTCGGTTTAGTAGTGCCCGGACGGGGCACGTCGGGTGGTGTATTGCCTCGTGGTGTATGCTTTCATTTTGTTTGCCGTTCTTTTGGTTGCGAATGTGAAGGGTGGCCGCGGTGCATCGGGCGAGCAGGGTGGCGCGAGGGAGGTCATGGGGCAACCGCGTAGTGTGGTCCCAAAATGTGACGTCTGCGATGGTGAAGTGTGTTGTGAGCTTGTTTGTGCTGGGAGGGCTATATGTGTACTCGCCAGCGCGCAGGAGGTAGTAGAAGGCCATGATTGCCATCTCACCCACGGCTTTCGTTTTTGGGCAGGGGGAGTTGCTCCCCAGGCGGAGGAGGTAGTGGGGGACCGCGAGGGGKACTGCTAGCYGGGGGTGGGTTGGCGGGTCGGCRCGGGCGTAGCCGGTGAGAAGTTGTTGAAGGGCTTTGGGGTAGGGACTTTGCGGCGGTCCCAGCGGGYTTTGTTGGCCTGCCAGTTGGAGGGTCGTGGCGATGGCGCGGAGCGAAAGGAGGACGGTCTGGGCACGAACCGGGCGAGTTTTGGCGTGTGTGACGGTCCCAGTCCGAACATCGTGGGCATAGGCTGCCAGGATAGCAATTTGGGCGGGCCGTGGGGCGGTGAGTTGTGGGCCGACGTGAGGGAAGTGAGTGTCCATCCATTGGGACCAATAGCGCCAAAAGCGCCGCCKCGTTTGCGTAGTCGCTGCCACGACGCCAGCGTCGATGGCGTCATTCGTAGTTCGGAAAAGAGCTTCGAGGCGGTGGAGGCGCTCTGGTGGTGCAGTGTCCAGGAGCCGTGCTGCGGGGGTGGGAAAGTGGTGGTGAAGGAGGCAAGGAAGCGTCGGGGGTGAGTGCTATGAGGGCGGGAGGCAAAGTCGGCCATGCAGTTGTGTTCACCCGGGATGTGGTGGATGTCAAGTAGCGCGGCCTCGTGGTGGCGGAGTTGCGTAGCGAATGCGCGGAGGATGCGACCGGCACGCGTGGATTGTGCGGTGCGGAAACGGTCGGTCCAGTGGACAGCGGCTAGGTTATCGCACCAAATCGAGACTGATTGATGTCGGAGCGACCGGTTGTACCGGCGGAGGTAGTTGGCGAGGGCGAGGAAATGGAGGAAGATGCCGGCCAATTCGAGGTCACAGATGGTGATGGGGCCGTTGGGGTTTTCTCAGGCGGCCATTGGAGGAACCAAACGCAGGGCTCCAGGGCGTCAGTGCCGGCGAACCAAACGCCACCAACGCCCAAGCGGGAGGCCTCGACGTAGCCGATATAGCTTGGGGGGTGGAGGATTAGTTCCTTGGCGTGGGTGGGGCGGGCGGCGGCGATGGTTATGAGGTTGAGCCAGTCCTTGAGGTACGCGGTAACGAACGGGGTACAGGTGAGGTTGTGTGCCTGGCGGGCGTTGGCCTGGGAGAGGATGCGGTCCCCTGGGCCCAAAAGGGCTTTGCCGCAGGGGAGGCTAACACTGAGGAATTGGAGCTTGCCGTGGAGCTGTTCAAATGCTTTGAGTCGGAAAGTCTGTTTGGCAAGGAGGCTGCGGGTGCTGTCCCTGATGCGGTCGCGCTTTGTGGTGGGGAGGGAGATGGTCCTGCGTTGGCCGTCGAAGATCCATCCGAGGACCTCTTTGGTGGTGTGCCATTTGCCTTCGGCGAGGAGCTTTTTCTCAGAGACGGCGGGCCCCATGCTGCTGCCGGAGATGTCCGGGCCGGGGAATGTGTTGTTGATGGCGTGAAGGTGGTGGCGTGCTACTTGGCGGAAGTGGGCGGGGTCCGGCGACTGGGCCATGGCAATGAAGTCGTCAATATAGACTTCAAGCCAAGTGTGAGAAGTTGGTGGTGTGGATGGTGGGGCTGGTGGCCATGAGGTGTCCATTATGACGTGTTCCATGGGGTGGGGGGGGAGGGGGAGGCGGGAGCGGAGGGTTGTGGCAGCGACGTCGCGTGCTGTTTCGGTGGCGTCGCAGAAGAAGGGGGGGCTTTCGCTCCACCCCATTTGGAGGGAGTCGGGGATGACGAGTTGGACGGGGTCGGAGGGGTTGGTGGGGGGCAGGACATATGCAAAGTTCCACGCGTCCACGGGGTTGACTACCATGCGCCAGTAGCCATCTTTGAGGTCCAGTTTCGTGAACCAGAGGGGTAGGGTGGTGTCGGTCGCCGCCATAGCGTGGATGAGGCGGGGGACGACGCGGCCTAGTTCGTACATGGCGTGTTGTGGGGCGAGGGTTTTGTCCGATGTGGCATTGACGGCTGGGACTGTGTGGGTGGGGAGTCTGAGTTCAAAGGAAAGGTCGAGGATCATGCGGTATGCCCTSGATTTGTGGGGGATGGCGGCGATTGGGCTGACTTTGAGGTTTTTGGGCGGCGAGTCGCGGATGGTGTGCCAGTTGACGACGCGGCTGCACCCGTCGGCGACTCTGGCGAGGGCTTCTGTGCGGCAGGCGGCTGCTGCGTCGGGGGCTCGGGCGCTGGGATGGGCCCCGCGGGCGATGGCTGCCTCAAGTTCGGGGACTGTCCAGGGGCGACCACAGTCGACGGGGCAGCCTGAGGTGG